GAAAATGGTAACAGTGACAACTTTTTCCTTTTATGCCCAAGACTAAACGGCAAAAACCAAACAAAAAAGACCTTCGAGTTGCTCCTAAGGGAGCACTTTTCTGCCTGAACTTGCCACGGAGCAGCGGGGGACGCCTCACCCCTCGGCCAGGAGCAGGCAAGGGGCCGCAGAAGGCTGCCCACACACGGCTTAGCTCACGAGACACCCTCCAAACACTTGCTCCTGAAATTAGTTTTCAGAAAACTTTTCTTTCAATTGCCCATATGGTAAAGCAATTTCTTTCTCTGTTATACTCTTTCCAGAAAAACTGCTGTTTATCTCCTTAATTATCTATTTCCAAGTTCTGGACTTTCGGTGAGTAAAAGCTACGTACCCATGAATTTTCTGACAACTAATGCTGATTATACTGCACTGCATACAGAGAAAATGCTAATTAGGACTTTTGCAAATGAAAAGCACCATGTTCTCAAAATGTTCTTCATTTTTACTTGTCTTCCTGAGGAAAACAACAAAGAATATTAAGCTTCATCTCACGTTCACCCTGGATATAAAACTAGCTCTTTCAGGAAGACATTTACAGCTACCTTTGCCTCAGAGTCCCCAGGCCTAACGAAGTAGTAGTTTCTGGACGTGCTGCAGCTTCAGCACTGTTGCCCTAAGTGAGCAGTATGCCAAAAATATCTAGTCATTTACAGCTTCACTATGCAGAGGCAGCTCCAGCAGCAGAGCGCTGAATGCTCTGGCAAATCCTTCAAAAGCAGCCATTAAAAATATGCAAAATGAAAACATATAGTACACCTCCCCCCGACCCCCACTAGGGATCGGGGTCTTGACCATCCGTGAAGCACCGAGGCCGAACTAAAGCAACCCACTGAGGAGCGCTGTATAAAATAAGCACAGCATAAAGTCAGAGCCAGCTACTGCTAGCTGCATATGGATTTCAAATCTTGAAAAAAATTCATGAAAATTAACTTGTCTAGCTACCTAATCTTTAGCAGTAGAATTTATGTATTTTAAGATTTCTACTGACTTGGAAATCTATTCCACTTTCAGTGATATGACAGTAACAAACCTAAAAAATATTTCACCAGCCCAGTTAAAACAGTGTATCTGTCTCCTTAAACAGAATAAAAAAATTTGGTGAGCCTGCAATAAGAGATCTCTGGTTTCCCAAAGACTTCCATGACTGCAGTGTGTAGTACTTCAGTAGCCACACACACAGCAGCTTACTGCTTGTGACTCGTAAGCTGTGGAGCTAAAGTGTGTCATGAGAATAATATACAGCAGTTCCTTTATTAACTCCAGGATACTCACTGTGCACATCACATTAAAAATGGGGATTTCATTCCACACAGCAAGCCAATATATACACATAAATATACATATAAATGGTGCAGGAAATGCAAGGTTTTGTGTAACCAAATAGCTCCTGGAGTAGCACCCAGTAGGCGTAAGGGCATCGTAGCTGTCGGACTAGAACGGACAGCACACGCAGCTCCTGCACGCTGCGTCCCTTTCCTGACGCTGGCAATCCAACAGCCTCCTCACGCAAGTTTGTGGGGAAACATCCTTGGCTGCGTGTGCAAAGAGTACGGAAGACTTTCCTGTGTTTAAGGTTCTGGCAATCAGATCTCTCTTCCTGACTCTTGTGTGTGCTTCTGGGCACAACTGCAGTGAGTAACCCTTCTCCACTGGGGAAAACGGAGAACGCAATGTGAACTGCGCTCTCCTGTTTCCCGGTACCATTGCAACACCCGGGCACGAGGCTCATGTGCTCTGCAGAGAAGTGTGGAGAAGCAAATAAGTCAAATCAAGCTCTCCTTTCTTCTCTCTTTACTTGGAGGGAAGCACTACTGCCTAGAAATGGCTCCAGTAACTCAAACACATTTATTTTGCTTCAAGCAACTATCACACTTATGGGGCTCCCCTACAGATTAATATTCATAGTCACTTGATATTATCCTTCATTCCAGGTTATTAAGCCTGTAAGCCAAAGTTTCATAAAGCAAAACAGTTATAAATTTGCTGTTCTCTCAACACTGAGCATCTTTTCTGAATGCCTTTTCTCTAAATTCGTAACACTAGTTGATTGATTTGTGATAGAAGATGACAGAGACCACAAATATCTACAAAGATTAAATATTTGAATTTCTGGAAATTTCTTGGAACAGGTCTGATTATATAGCATTCCAGAAGGCCCACATTAAGATTCAGATATTAGGAAAAAAAATATTTTCCAACAACAGCTGAAAGCTGATGGAGTCCAACTTAAAATATCCAGAACAAACACCGTGCAGAGGAAAATTTGCAAAAAACAAAATACATACTATATATATGCATAGCATACCAACTTGCACAGATTTTTCACTTCATAAAGGACACAGGCAGATTTTTCACAGTAGCCTTTATTCTTTTGATACTAGGTTTTCATCTGATCTCAAATACAATTGTGTAAACCTAGAACTCTACCAACAGACTGCCAGCGCAGTCAAAAGAAAACTAGTGCAACCAAAGGGACATGCTTGGTGTGGAGTCTGTGTATAACTGAAATTTAATAAAAGATGACGTCTGGACTAGGATATTCCAGAGCAGCTGAGAACTAGAAGAGTGTTTCGTAGAGGACAAACTTACCTTGTTGATGGGGACAAGAGTTTAGTGAGCATAATATAAGAAAGAGTAGCCTGCCTAGAAAATACTAACGGCTTGATAGGATGCTGGATGGATTTGAATTAATTGGCACATTTTATTTTATGAGTCACCCATGGCGAATTTGCTTGACAAATTAATGGGAACTCATTCAGTAACAGGGAGTTTGTTATCCTTCCTTTTATGTGAAGCAAAGGCCTTCAAGATTGTTTAATTACAGCTCCAAAATAGGCTTATTTGACCTACTGAAATCTACTAGATTTTACATGCTATTTCTTCCATAACTTTTTAACCCTAAGACAAATTCATTGTTTTAGCTGATATCACCTGGAAGTTCCTTTATTGTCTCTTCTATGACTGTTTTACTCAAGAGTTTTAAAATGTCATAAAATTATTTCATTCATAGTTAGAGAACAACATTTTTACAGCCTCATTTGGTTACTCCCTAGGTACCATTTCATCCCAATTCTTAAAATTTAAAATGGCTTTCCAAGTGCAAATGTATTTGTTTCTAAAAATGTTTTTATAAAGACACTTCTGTAGAAAATACAAGCATTCAAGATTATCTGTATTTGTTTAGGAAATGACTGAACACAGAGGTTGTATAAAAGAAAATAGAAAAGTGAAGAAAATCTCAAAATCTCTAACAACAACTTACAGCTTTTTAAGAAAACCTTTTGTTAAAAAAATCCCACACTATTACAGTATGAGCTATTCTAAAACTATTGTCTGAAATATAAAGAGGATTCCTCAGCAGACTGCATCTCTCTGTGGCAGGCTTAAGCAAGCAGCACAACCCACCCAAAGCAGGCTCAGGGGGGCACAAAGCCATGGAGCTTAACACTCACGCTGTGTATTAGAAACTGTGTTTCATGAGGCCATACAGCAAAGGCAGTGGCCATATTGCAGATGGAAAATCACATGGTCTAATTTTTTAACCAATAATTTTAAACAAGAAAATATTCACATACTTTGATGACTCCATAGTATTTTGCAATGATCCAAGCACCAGATTTTCTAGAAAATCTGTCTATTCAGTCACACTAAAGCTGTTCTAAGAATATTCCCTATTCCTTTTTCCATACAACATTAACTCAGCCACTTCTTACATCTGATTCTTCCTAATCTTCCTCAATGACATCTTCCCACGGGAGGAATTGCAACAGAAGGAAAAAATATCATAATAAAATCTGCTACTTTCACAAAGGTTTATCTAGCCTGGAATAAAGATTGCAGCAATGTCTGGTGCTGGGAACTTTATCCCAGAGAACAGCAAGTGAGAAACGAGCTCCATGGTGTCCTCACTAAAACAAGGCTGCAGAAAAGCAGGGGGCAGCGGGAAGGGAGGGAGGCAAAAGCTGACATTATCTCCTGCATTGTCCCTTCACACAAAGAAACAGTGTACCCAGCAAACCAAGAGGCCGGGAGCAAAACTACAGTCGCAACCGTGCATTGTCCAGTGTTGGTACACCGAGCTGAAGACAGAGATAATATCATACTGCAGGGCTTCTTTCCCGAGCTTTTAAGAAATGATAGTAAGGCGGGCCCTTCACTTTCAGAAGTTTAAGGGGCCTTTAAATTGAAAAAGTTAAAGGAAACAGTTCCCACTTTGTTCAAAAAAGGGTAAAACTACACAATTCCGGGCTGGGAAAGACATCCTTAATATACACCACCTCAAAAAGACAACTCTTAGCAAAACAGCTGACAGTTTGATAGAAAGGGATTCTGCCCCAACTTAATCAAAGGAAGCAAGTGACTTTGATGCATTCTTTAATGTGCAACTATAAGAAGAAAACACACAAGGTACCCATTTGATATCCAATATTAACAGTGTAGCATTTGTAAATTGAGTGATCAAAGCAAAATCTCAGGCACTGCAGTCTTATATGACAGTATTCTCTCAAATTTATACACGTGCTTTTATCAAAGTGCTGAGCAATGGGAAAAACACAGTGACATTTAGACACAGGCAGCATTCATTTTCTCTTAAAGAAGTATGAAACTGCTAGGGAAGGTCAAGCATCCTCAGTGCAATCTAAGGTTATAAAATTTGGAGAGAGACTGATCATGTGCATACACAGACACAATACCTCCCTCCCTTCACCTTCACACTCATCTGAGAGTGAATACAGTGTTTTCAAAATTACAACTGAATTTCAGGTTGGAAATTCTAGAAGAAAGAGCTATGCTTTCTCTCTCAAAAATAAAAACAAAAAAATCCCAAAACAAAAACCCCCAAACACCCAATCATTTGGTCAGAGGCTTTCCTGGTTCTGCATTATAAGCTTAAGGTACATGATGTAGTTGATATAGAATGGAGGTCAGTTCTATCAACGTCTATATCATTACAGTACCTGAGCGGATCAGTTGAGATGCTGCTTCGTGTTTCCAGTGAGGTCCTGAGGTGGTAACAAGAGAATAAAATTGCTAAGTATTAGAACTATTCAAAAAAATATATGTACATAAATGTCAAATGCTTAATGACTTTACTTCCCCCTCGCTTTTTTATTGACATTTTATAGTGCCTAGCATGCCATTAAATATATTTATGGATGCTTTGAAAAAGTCAACAGACATTTCCTATACACTAGGCTAAGGTGAAACGCAGAAATGTTTTTGCTCAACTAGTCAAAATGCTATCAAATTTCAATATTCTAAAAGCGTTTAACCCCCAACATTTGTTACCTGTTAAAGAAGATACTTTGTTGTATGTACGGTTTTCACGTAAGTTCTGCTCTATGGACTATTAGAGTAAACATTGCTGGAGCCTGTTCTACTCTTCAGCTTGGCGCTACGACTCCGGCAGATACATCTGAAGTGCTCAGCCTGACCCCACGTGCAAGGTTTGTTCCTGAGCATAAACATCCCTTCACCGCACTGTGAAGCTGAAGCCGACACGTGGTTTAGGGGCATATGCAATTTGAAGACCCAGGGGGTGGCCCCACCAGGAGGCCTGCAGGCAGAGAGTGGCCCCAACACTGGACACTGCGCTTAAACTGAACCACATTCGCAGGAGAACAGTACAGTGCCGCTCACAAGCACACGCTCACGGGCTACTTGCTCCCAGACTAGCGTGGCTACCTGGAACTGGGGGTGGGCAAAACGCTCCCACGAGAGCCCCATATAATGATATAGAATTAAATTGTAGAGGGGAAAAGAAAATAATTGTCCCCCACAGGCTATAGTAAAACATTAGCCAAAGTCTAATAATAAAGGCTCCATCATGATGTTAGAAATAATTTTAAATAGTTATTTTGTACTTATCCATTTATATTCCTTAGACGCACTGAACTGCCACAGATCAACTTTTGATCATATAGTCATGAATGTGCATGGTCTCTGGAGGTTCATAAAATTAGCATTAGATTCCATTAACTATATTTACAGCGGGTATTGGCAAATTAGGTGCAAATCTTCTATTCCCGAGATTACTAGTTTGTTTGCAGAAATAAATAGGGTTGTGTGAAGGGATGAAGCTATAAAATATTGTATACACTACAATTAGCTGTACAAGAATGGAAACAAACCATATTGTCCAGATAGCCTTTAACTACAGAACATACACAGCTTTAAAATAGCTTTTAAGAGGTTCTCGCACCCTGTGATTTGTTTGCTTTCAGTAGAGTTCAAGATTTGTGAATAGTGACAAATTTTGAGGGGGTGGCTAACACACGCTGGCTTTGTGGTTCATTGTTGACTTAACAATCAAAAAGGGTGAACCTAATTTACTGATAATTAAGTTTGCAGCTTAACACCACCTGCCTGCACCAGCTTGCTCCCCCAACATGACTCTTCACCTTGCTTTTAACACAGATTTTGAAGTCGTCTCTTAACAGTTTTGGCCCTTGCTGCTCTAAATACATATTTAACAGGCTCGGGGTCTTTGCACAGAGCCAGTGCGTCGCACGTAGCAAGGAGCTGGTAGCGAGACACCCAGCAAGGCTGATGAGCCTCCCGGCCGGGGCAGAGCGGCACCGTCTGGGCTGCGGCCTCGGGGCCGCTTTATAGATATAAAAGCGATCTATATGATATTAAAAAAAAATGCATAGGAAGAAAGCAGTGTTCCCACCACAAAAGTACCCATCCTGGGGCTGTCCTGAAACATGACTAAAAGGTTCTGTTCACACAGAAAGTTTAAGAAGTTTCCCTGTTGCTACAAACAGCAGCTCAGTATGTTATTAGTAACGGTGTTTATATGCTTGGTAACTGCAGTTAGAAAAACCCAAAACACCACAGATCTAATCAATTTGGTTGCTGGCAACAGGCACGTACTGTAGCTGCCAGCGTGCTCGAAGCCCAGCAAGTCCCACAGGCGCTGTCGCGGTGGAAACGCTCAGAAAGTTTATTGGGTTTAAAACAGCCGCACGTGCGGCAGGGGCGTCACGCATCCCACAGGGACCCCGCGGCGCCCGAAAACAGGAGCCTTTGCACGAGGGGCACAGAGGCCAAAGCCGGAGCACCTTGTGGTCAAGGCTAAGGGTAGGAACTTCCCATCCCTGTGAACTGTTTCTTCCATCAGACAGTTGCAGAAGCAAGATGATCCTATGGAGAAAGGTTTACTAGTGGTTGTCTTAGATGTGATCCAAATAGTATCAAACACAAAAAGCTGTGTGAACAGCACATAACAGAAAAAACCTCTCTGGATGAGAGCCACAGAATGAATCACTACCGGCGAGCAAAAAGAAAACCAAGAAATACCCAAATGAGAGTTACCAGCTGGCAAAAGCTATTGCTGAGCCTCTTAACGTGGTCACCCACCCAGAGACTTCTCTTGCCTCTGTGGAAAGTCGCAGCGCTAGACTGACAACTCGGCAAACAAAGTATAATGGCCAAGAAAAAAGGCAGTAGAGATGGGAAACATTTAAATTTAATATATTTTGAAACATCCAGACTTGGAGTACAGAAAATGAGTTAAGTCTCATTGAATTTATAGCATGATTTTAGTATAAGCTTTCCCCTTGTTTCTTTACATCTAAGATCCCATCTAAACCTTTTCATTTCTTTCCAAACACTGCTCAAGGATGGAAAGTTAATGTAAAACAAAAATAATCCAAATCCTGAAAACAGTGTCATTAAGCTAAACTAAACAAAACTCATTCTACACAAAATAATTTAATTTCTCTTTTTTCTGCTTCAAGGAAAAGCATACAAGGACCATTCTGTTTTAAGATTACTTGAAAGCAGGCTTTGGTTTTTAGGTCTTCTTTCAAATGAACAGAAGTGGTAAAGAAACGTCACAGGGCTCTGAAGAAAAACAGGAGCAAGTGCCACTACTCCTCCCTGTGCATTCGGTAAGGGGGCACCAACGCAATACACTTGTAGTCCAGATAAAAAAAGTTTCATATATCATCACAAGATAAAGCTATTAAAAATATACTAGATTTGTCTGTATTTGTACAACTCCTACTTAGTTTTTTGTCTTGTATATGTACAAACAAAAGTAACTATTACTAATGGTAGAACAATTCCCAAGGACCTGACTGAAAGTTGAACTAACGACTTAAAACTCCCCTAGACAGAAGAAAACACACCACAGAGCAACCCTGCACAATTTGGGAGCTGGCCTGAGCAGGCCAGGCCGCTGCTTGGTGTCTCTAGCTTGTTTCCACGGAGCCTGCCAGGTAGGGAGGTGAGGAAATCTGCACCAATTTCTCTGATGAGTCAATTGAATGACCTCTCTTGTTCATACGCATTCTTCACATTTTACTCATTGCATAAACTGTAACTAAACCTGGCACAATGGGCTATGCCTAACTGGGTTACTTGAAGCCAATGTGGTCAGCATGAGGCTTGAAGAACGGATGTAATAGGTGGTAGTAACAGCCTCTTTCAAGGCCAAAATAATCATATGAGTTACAGATTTATGCAACTCTGGAATTAGAAACCTCCTTAGAACTTATATTTATTTTCTTTAGCTAGCACAAATATAAAATAGCCTGCTGCTTCAGAGTATTATGCAGGAGAAAATAACATTCCCAAATCATCAGTCTAAAATTCAGATAGTTGCTGTCTCATCCAGTATGCTCTGGGTTTCCAGAGACAAAAGAGAGTAAACCCAATCCTACTTTACAGTTTGGTCTTTAAGCCAAGTCCAAGACCACAGGCTACAACAACTGTTATTAACACTGTCTATACATATTACTCATGGAAGGTGCACAATGAACAAACCACAGGATACAGGGTTTCAAAGAGTCAGTAAGCAATATTTAATATACCACATTCCAAAACGTTTTAGCAGGTTTAAGTGAGATGCTTAAGATCAGCTTCTTGGTATCTTGAGCAACAACATGTTCTGTTCTGGGGGTGTTGTTTTTGTGATGAAAAAAATGTTGATTTCTCATAAGCATAAAATCACTCTCACTGAAAACTACCTCTGAGCCTGCATATGATGGTTTTTCTTATGCCATAAAGAAGATAGAAAATAAATACCCTGAAGAATCAACAATCTAAAGTCTTGCTTTCTTCAGCTTTAATAATAAATAGAGTATTATTGATTCGGGATGGAGCATTACAGGCAGAGACCTTAATTCAAATTATTCCATTTCTCAGTACAGGACAGTGACACTCTAAATCATTACAATATTTCTAAGGCAGACATCAACGTGACTACAGCAGCCACTGATATAACAGAATCACATAGTGACTATGTCCTTGCTGAGACTGGATAAAGAGAAGACACTGACAATAACTCCAGCGGTCCAGCACTGGGGCTGTGCTAAGAGCCTTCAGATGCTCTTGACCAAGTACGACATTACATGGATGCTCTCACCACACTGGGTGGATAAACTTGTGAGAGTCTGTACGCGGTGATGGCTCGGCACAGCTATGGCTGCTGCCCCTTCCTGGGGTCCTGTGGGCAATGCCCAGCCCTACAGGCTCAGTTCCACTGAATAACACTGGGGTCTGCTGAGAACAGCCCATTGCCGTCAGTGCAGGCAGCTGCAGGACCCCCACTGCTTCATTCAGTTAATCAGAGGGTAAACGAGACTGCAGTACTGCTTATCGTAATGCTGCCAGAGGCTACAAGTAACTACATATCGCAATCAGGCATGGTATGAACAGCAAGAAAAAATTCCAGTGCAAGAATAGCCAAGAGGTCTTCACCTGGCATGGACATGCACCATAGTGGCAGATTACATGATTTTAATTGGATCAAATCCTCCCCCCCAAATATACCATCTTTGGTTAAGAAGTGAAACTCTCTGGAAACAGAGACATTTACTGTCTGCAAACGACAACCTGGAGTGTGCTGGGTGGGTGGCGGGGGGGAGCAAAAGACAGATCAGCGCTCCACCAAACCTTCGACAGGCCCTACAACTACAAGCAGGACTGCATAGCATCTTTGTAATGCTGAGGAAAGGAACACTGAATAATATATTAAATATTTAAGAGACTGTGC